AAAGAGTGTCTGCCCGGATTTTCTCGCAACGGCGTTCCTCTCAAGTCCCCCCTCTTTCGAGCGCGATCTCGCGTTTCGTCGTCGATATTCGGGGACCCGTGTTCGCGGATCGATGCGTGATCGAGTGCTCGAGACGATTTTGTCCGCGTTTATTGTAGCGAGTGCCCGTGGAAGAAACTTTTCAAAGATCTAAAGAGATAAACAGAGCAACTGTCAACTGCATCGCGGATCGCTTGTCGTCGTTTTCTCTACAAAGATTGTTAAAAATTAACGGAACACGTTTTCTTCTTTTCACTTCGGAAGCCGTCTCCCATCGATCGTCGCACGACGAATTCACGCTACTTGGATAAAAAAAAAACCCATCCGGTTTCTTCGATCCGTTTCTTTCCCGACGTCTATGGCTAACGTACCCTTGTTTACCTCGGGAATGAAGCGCAAGGGTCGGGGTGGAAGGACGAGAGGGAAGAGGGGAAATGTACGGTGGCGGCGGTGTGTAATCATGCCTTATCTGGCGGATCTTATCAACCCTTGCGCGGAGCAAAGAGGGAGGGGGTGTGCCCGGAGAGAACCCTCCGCCCCGGAATCGATACGCGGAGAGCCACCTCATCAATATAGCCGCGCCGCTATCTGCTCTAGATCTTTGACACTCTCGCCCCTTCGAGAGGCGAAGGCCAGAAGGGAGAGGGCAGGGGGAAGAGAGAGAAGGTGGACTGAGACACCCCGAAAATCGCCGGCCGGCACCTACCGGCCATCACGCGGCTAATGGTTATTAAACGAGAACGCGGGGGCGAGTGTTTCCAAACGAGTGGGTTTCCGGGAGGGGTGGGAAAGGGGGAGGGAACGATCATTAGCAAATGGAGAATATAATTCGACGATTTCGTGGACTTTGAATGCACGGCTTTTGCGAATTTTATAATAAAATTTCACAAAGTAACGTTGAAATGATTTAGAATATATGTATATCCGCATAATTTAATTTAATTAAAATTATTTGTACAAACGACTATAGGAAATTTAATCTCGAATTTACAACAAGATAAATCTGCGTCGCTTTTATATCCGACGCGAGATTATTCCTCCTGCGCGCGCGATCTCTCTCAAAGTATCGCCGGCTCGGCATGCGAGCGTTCCTTCGTACGAGAGAACGACCGGGCCCGGTCAGCCGGCACGATCGTGCACGCATTGCTGGGCGATTAGATCCTTCAAAGTATCTCGCTCGCTACGGTAAGTCCTGTCGCGGGACACACGAGTCTAGAGATCTCTCGGACCTCGTCGACATCGATCTCGGAAGCTGGCCCGATTCCAGTCTCTTTTATCCGCGGTTAATTATTAATATGTTATTTATTTCGCGAGAGACATCGCGTATCTCTCTTCCTCTAGCTCGCGCAAAGGACGAGCCCTCGGTAAATTGCGTATCGGGGACAATACTTTATCATCCCGCGCTTACCGGGCGCGTTCGGGAACCGGTTGCCTCCAGAAGGCAGAGCTCCGGACACTGACGGATATGACATTTCTGAAGTTTCGCTGCGATCTACGTTTCTCTCGTTCCTTTATTCCTATTTTATCTCCCTTCTCTTGCTTTCTTTTTCCACCGCCCCCTCGTCCATCCTCAGCTCCGTAGTCGTCAGTCTCCTCGTCTTCCTCTTCTATCTTTTTCTTCTTCTCCTCCTTCTTCTCTTCACGGCGTTTCGACCTCGCGTTTCCCTCGCTCGTTTTATTTCGCTCCCTCGCTGCCACCCC